CCCCGGGTTACTTACAAGATAGGGACTGTAGGTTTGTTCTTAAGTTGAATTTGTATGTAAGTCGGAACTGGTACATATTGTAGGGGAAACTAGCCAAACTTTTCTCCAGAGCTCAGTTTTATTCTCCCACACCTCACTTCCCTCAGTCCTTTATTCTCAAGCTGAGGTGTCTGCTGAGAAAAGCCGCTCCGCGTCTCCCTCTGGGGGGGGAGGGGGCGCTAGCTTCACGTCTCCCGGGTCTGCTGGGGGGAAGTGCCCCCCGCGCCGCCGGAGGCGGCAACAGTGGGGGAGGCACCCCACACTAGCTGCGCCCTCCCCCCTCGTTCGTAACTAGGGGTCCAACTTAAGTCGGATTGACGTAACCCGGGGTCTGCCTGTATATGCAAATAGCCTCTTTCATACTGATGGGCATGAATACAAAGATTAAGGCAAGACTACACAACACCCAGACCCCATTTAAGTCAGTTCTGCTGATATTAATAATATGCAATATTTATCTGATTTCCACTCATATGACAGCACTTTTAATGATCAATGACAGTCCAGGAATTCAACTACTAAAATGCATATCAACAGAGGATCACTATACTGACTTGCTGTTGTGGAGCATGTTCCCAGAGGAGGCCATGTTCAAAGGATTCCAATGCCATCCGCAGGCCAGGTGATGAGTAGCCCTGATCTAATGTAACTGAGTAAAATACTTTTTACTGCACTGCTTAGTTTACTATATTTTTGGGATCAGGGCACAATGTTTTCATTTTATAAATTTTTAAACATTTTTCTGTATGACCAAGTGGGTATGGGTACCGTGAGTGATACATATTCATGTTAGTGTAAGAAGACCCACTTAATGATGCTTTTGTTTTTACTAACACAACAGGAGCCAGTCTTGTCCCTGTTGGAAAAATTATGCAGATAAGTCATAATTATTAATCAGATAAGGAAACTGGAAATTTTACAGACAGATTATATTCATTACAAAAAACTTCCCTGTCCGTGAACTTTGTCAAACAGTTATATAACAGATATTTAAAAACTGCTAAACTCTTATGACTGTTTTAGAGTCTCTCAAAAATAAAAAGTAAAATGTGGGGGAACTTTGAAAGATTGTCTCACAGTATTGAAAATAATTTTTGAAGGCTGACAGGTTAATGCAAGCATGGAAAGAATTAAGCATAAAACACCTACTAATGAGAACTGACCATATCTCTAAGGAAACATTTCATCTCAAAATTCTTTCTCCCTCTCTCTCTCTCTCTGAAAGGGCTGCCAAAAACCACAACATCTGACACGTAACTGTATCAAACTCAGAAAAAAAGACTGCTTAAAAATATCTGTAGACGCATCCAACACTGCTGCCTTTTCAGTCAAATATCATGCACTCATTGGTACCATCTGCTAATCAACAGTGCATTTAGATTAATATGGCATTTTTTGTACATCTGAGCAAAAGAAGTGATGCACACACACACTCATGGTGCCTTTTTCCTTCTCTACTGAACAAACGAGCCCAATTTAGCAGTCCATCCCTGTTCCGCGGAGCATTCAAGCACTTTTACCTTCAGTTTGACTTAAAGAGACTCCAGTATGCAGTTAAATATTTTCCTGAGGGCCTGAAATACCACTGCTGTGAAGCTAGTGGTGTAAGAACTAAAAATACCTCTAATAAAAGTGGTACCACCTGCCTGATTCAGCCTATCACCATCCAACATCCAGCTATGGAGAAAGCTACAGAATCTAATAGCTTCAGGTCAGGAAAGCAGTGAGCTTGTTTTAAGGGACTGTTTCAAATAATTAGTCAAGTGGAAATAGAGATCTTGGTACAGGCTTCCTTGATTTCAATTTTTATTAAAGAATTCTTGGCAGAGCTCTACAGGATTGCAAACTTTGAAATCCAGAGGCAGACACAATTCTGGACTAAGGACATGAGGTCCAATGGATGACAGCAATATCATCGCACTACTGAGCTTGTTTTAAGGGACTGTTTCAAATAATTAGTCAAGTGGAAATAGAGATCTTGGTACAGGCTTCCTTGATTTCAATTTTTATTAAAGAATTCTTGGCAGAGCTCTACAGGATTGCAAACTTTGAAATCCAGAGGCAGACACAATTCTGGACTAAGGACATGAGGTCCAATGGATGACAGCAATATCATCGCACTACTGCATCTAACCCTACCATCACAGAGAAAGAGCACAACTCTTTCTCCCTCAACTATCAAGTTCCATAATATTTATGTACTCTGCAGGGGTCACTTTTGAGTATTTCAGAATATCTGGTGCAGGGCTAAATACCACATTGTAAAGCAGGCTTCTTGTACACTGTGTTTGGACTTATTTACTTTTATATGTAGTCATATGAAGAGAAAATGCATCCTTCATTTTTGTCTAGGAAGTAAAGGTGAAGAAGGGTTGTTTGGCTTGCCAGGTCAAAATGGCTCATCTGGTCCACCAGGACCCCCAGGTGACAAAGGAGTCATGGGAGATCAAGGATATACTGGGTCACCAGGTAAGAATTATCACTTTCTGCTGCAAGCATTTGTCAGGCTGACAGATGTACAAAACGTGGCTCCAATTCAGGAATGCATGTAAGTATGTAGTTAAATTCATTACATTAAGCCTGTGTTTAAGTCCCTTTGACTTTAAATATAAGTATGTTCTTAAGGATCATACCTGAATAGGAGTGCATTCCTGAGTTGGGACCTAAATGGTACATTTCAGTGGGTAATTGAAACTATATTTTAGATATGATTTCTGTTAATACACTGGTCGTCTTACTGATTCCAGCTTTAGGTCACAGAGGTTATGCTGCTCGTACTTGTTCAAATCGAGGCCAGATCAGAAAGTCCCATAGTGATCAGCAACTGTGTGAAATTTCTAGATGTCCTCAGTCCATTTCTTAGAGGACATGTATCCATGGTGAAAAAAAAAAAAAGAGGCACAGTGTTGGCACTGATAGACTCAGGGTGTGTCTAGATTACCTAGTTTTGTCGACAAAAGTCTACTTTTGTCGACAAAACTATACCAGCGTCTACACTACCGCTGAGTTCTGTCGACGTTATGTCGACAGAACTCAGCGGTAGTGTAGACGCTGGTATAGTTTTGTCGACAAAAGTCTACTTTTGTCGACAAAACTATACCAGCGTCTACACTACCGCTGAGTTCTGTCGACGTTATGTCGACAGAACTCAGCGGTAGTGTAGACGCTGGTATAGTTTTGTCGACAAAAGTCTACTTTTGTCGACAAAACTATACCAGCGTCTACACTACCGCTGAGTTCTGTCGACGTTATGTCGACAGAACTCAATGTGTCTGGATGCTCTTTGTCGACAGTATCTGTCGACAAAACTTCCGTCGACAAAACGCAGTAGTCTAGACGTACCCTTAGTTCAAAGGATTCAGTGGGCATGTGAGGGAACTATGCTCCAAATCAGGGTTGAGATGCAACACCATGACAGCATGAACTGCCTTGTGCTTGTACTGCCTTGACAATCTCTGGGTAAGGACAGTATTTTAGTGTGAGTTGTGTTCAACCCAGAAGCTTTGATTGAGCATTAAAATGTATTCTGAAAACTAAAGCAACTCCTGTCTTGGCTGCAGTATTTAAACATTCAAGCAATCATCTTTGTTTTACCTTTTCTTCCTAAGGTCCACCTGGCCAACCTGGGATCCCAGGACCACCAGGGCCTGAAACTAGAGCTGCTAGTGGGTTCCTGCTCGTTCTTCACAGTCAGTCAGATAAAGAACCATTTTGTCCAGAGGGAATGCTAAGATTGTGGACAGGATATAGTCTGCTGTATCTTGAAGGACAGGAGAAAGCTCATAATCAAGATCTGGGTAAGTATTGCAGTAAATGATGGACATTCTATATTCATTATATTGCACCCAAAACATTATGTGCCAGACATCTATTGCTCATCTACAACCAATGATGAGTATATTGCAGTATATTCTATTAAGCTTTATTAAATAGTTGACAGTTTATTTAGAAGTGAGTGTATAAATTCTCTTAAAGCCACTATAGGAATTGTTACTATTATACCATCCTGTTACTTGATAAATATAAAATATACCATACTATGCTATAGATCAAGATTACTTTTTCAAAACATAGGCAACAACCCAGCATCACACATCCCGTGTATATCAGCAAAATCATATCCTTCAAAGGGTATCTAATCTTCTGAGCACCTCAAGGAGGCAAAATTTTCCTGAATTCTAATGCTAGTTCTGAAAAGGTTCTTTTATGTGCCTTGGGTCACTTATACTGGCATTTCATACAGAGTTGACTAGAGATAGGCACCAAATAAGTGCCTGTCTTTTTAGAATTTCTAGGCATCTGCAGTTATTGAAGACAATTCCTGGGATCTTCATCTATTATGCAAAGAGGCAGAGGAGGAGTCTTTTTAGAGGTTTACTAAACTTTGCATGCAAAGGTGTTTTTAAAACAATTACTTTTGTATAACAGCCAAGATCGGTCTATTCTTATATTGCATCTTTTCTGTTTTTAAATGGTGTTATTGTTATACAGGGTAACAGAAGGATCTTCAAAGCAGTCACATTTTTTTTTAAAGTCAACTAAAGTAAAATCCCCTTATTCAGAACCCCTGCTCCCTTCATGGGCAAACCCCTGCTCCCTTCCTCTGCCTTGTTTTCTTCTCAGGTTTTTATTTGGGCCTCCATATTGCAATAGGATCAATCTGCTAGCCCACCTGCAGTGGCAGATGCTATGGCAGGATCAGGGAATAGAGTGTTCTTTGGGGCAGGGACAGCAGACCAGCAGGAGATCCGGCGCACGGCTTCCGCGTGGGGTTGAGAGCAGCAATAGCTGTGGCTCAGTGGGGCAGGGAGATGTGGCAGCTGCCCGGCTGGTCCCAGAGTCCTGGCACATGGCTACCCCGGAGGTCCCGGAACCATGGCAGCAATGGCTGCTCAGCAGGGCAGTGGGACCAGCAGGAGGTAGGAAGCCCAGCCGTGAGACCAGTGGTAGGGGTCCAGAAAGGACATCTCTGGTTCAGCAAAATCCCTCATCTGGGATTTGTCAGATCTGGAGGGTGCCAGACCAGGGAGGTCCAACCTGTATTACGACAATGACATTAGCACAGAGGTTAGTCATGAGGATAGAATTTACAGTGCTTTGTACTAACTTTTCCTGGTGTTTCCACTTCTTTGAAATGGGTGGCTTGTTTGTTGAGTGACTGACTGTGTACAGGTGCTGGATTTTCAAGATATATAATTGTTTTAGGTCTGGCAGGATCCTGTCTTCCTGTGTTCAACACCATGCCATTTGTCTACTGCAACATCAACCAAGTTTGTTACTATGCCAGTCGAAATGATAAGTCCTACTGGCTGTCAAGTGCTGCTCCTTTACCAATGATGCCTCTTGCTGAAGATGAAATACAACCCTACATTAGCAGGTGTTCTGTATGTGAGGCCTCAGCCCAAGCTGTAGCAGTTCATAGCCAAGATCAGTCCATTCCCCCATGCCCTCTGAACTGGAGAAGCCTTTGGATAGGCTATTCTTTTGTAATGGTAAGATTGCAGCTACTTGGTAATATGCAAGTTTCTATTATAAACCTTTCCTGTGCTAAAGCTGTACAAACTTTAGTGTTGGGGAAAATATATCTTAGAAAACACCAAATCCATGGGTCTCAAAAAGACATTCAAGGAAAAAAATAGTAAGAAGCACTATGAAATACTGAACTTTATACAAGTTTTTGCATTAAATTAGAGGCAGTCCATAAAAAACACAGATTTTATTTACTTTTTTAATTAATAAATAGGAGGATAACAAGTAATTTTATCTGTACTATAAAATTGTGAAGGCTCCTTTTACTGCCTTTATGAAACTGCGGTATGGACATTATCATACTTTCATCTCTAGGAATATGTTACTTTTTTAAGTGCTTGTTTAAAGAGGGAGTAATAGGAATGATATGTATTTGTATAACTTACCTATTGTACACATAATTTGAGAAGATTCTTGTAATGCATTTTGAGCTGATTGTTTCAAGGTTTTCAAGGGAATATTAGTTTTTACTTCCCATATAATAAGCAACTACATTTTTCAATTTCCCTTAATGATCCTCAAGATGGGAAATGATAGCTTTTCGGACTGTGTAGCTTAATTTAAATAAATACATTTGATACATAAATACATACATTTGATAATAAAACTGGCCAAAATTTTTCATGATTTCAGTATGTGAAATGAAAAGCAGCACCTGTTTGCACTTAACTTTCATTTTCACTTGGGATTCTCATTTTTTGGAAGGAAAAGCAGTGGAAAAAATTGAAAAAAATGTGTAAAGGTCACAGATTGTATTATAGCTGAAATCACTTTAGTTCTAGAAATGGTAATTATCTGTCCCAGGCCTAGAGTATAAATCATCATGAAGGCAATTTTCTCCTATTCTCTTTATAAGCTTTGGACACTTGCTGATCCCCAGGTATTTGATACCTTGGAAACAGACACGTTTTGAACTGTGTGGGCAAGGAGGCAGGGTATGGGCCATTGGAATTGGTTCTACCTGTGTTATAGGGAAGGGCAACACCCATTAGGAATTACTAGTCCAAGAGAGCCCCGGGGAAGATAAGACATGGGTTTTTTTAATAAGGTCATTTAACTATGCTTTGAGCAATTGTTAAAATCCTGAGCCCCTCTTAACTACAGCTTACCCCAGTCTGACATGTACCTGTGCTAACCTGCAAGGCTATCTTGCACTTCTGAGATAAGCCAGTCCTAGAATGACTAGATGTGATTCTTCCTGCCAGGAAATAAAGTTAATTGTAACTTAAGTTCTCCAAGTAATATGCCTCTACAGAGTCACACATCTGGGAGCATTGGCCTTGGTGCAAAAAGTCCAAGAACCAAATAGAACAACAGCCAAGACTGTTTGTTCTTCTCTTGCCTGTTTTCCACATGCAGCTATTTAATTCCTTCCTTATTTTTTTTCCAGCATACTGGGTCTGGATATCAGGGTGGTGGACAGTCCCTTATGTCCCCTGGAAGTTGCCTTGAAGACTTTAGAGCAGCACCATTCATCGAATGCCAGGGTCATCGGGGAACATGTCAATTTTTTGCTAACGAATATAGTTTCTGGTTAACAACCATCGGGCCAGAGTTGCAGTTTGATCCTCAGTCAGAAACCCTTAAAGAAGGGCAAGAACAGCGCGGAAAAATCAGCAGATGCCAGGTCTGCATGAAGCATGGCTAAAAAAAACAAATCAGAGGAGTTACGGCTGAGGGACTTTGCTGATGGAAGAAGCCAGTTGTGCTAAAGATGCAAATGGTGTTTATGGTGTAATTTTAATTGAAGTGTGCATGGCTCTGTTCCATCTGTTTAAAAGTTTGCTGCCTCTACAGTACTGAAAGATACAAATGGTATATTTATACACATGCACACATATGAAACCTAGTGTAAGTGACAGGCAAAGGACGAGCAAAATTAAATTCCACACTGTTGTATACAGGTGCCAAACTGCAGCTTCGTCTTACACTGAAAATAGAAACGAGTTGTACTGGGAAACCTTAAAATGACTGCTCGCAGTAGAGGATTTCCGGTTTGTTCTCTATGTATTTTTCTATAAGACGTATAAACATAATTGTGTCCACACAATTTCATATACAGTTGGATGAATGTACACTCATACATTTTATTCTTTTGTAGGAGCAGAGAAAATGTGATTTTGCTGCAAACTTATGCTACCCCATAATAAAAACAAACAAAGATCAAAGACCATTTGACTAGCTACAGAACTAAACCAGACTACAAAATTAATTTGCTTATGAAATTTCATAAACAATGAATATGCTAATGGTGGATTGTTATGCAAGAACATATATAACCTTGAATAACGAATACTTAAAATACTATTTCTGTTTTCTTTGCAATTAATTTCCCAACACATTTAAATTAAAATGTGATGCTGTAATTCATATAGCTGAAGACAACAAAACAGCTGTCAGTTTTAATTAAAAAGAAAAGTGATACCTCCTCTACAGGGGCCTGTAATAAAAGAACTCTAAAGATAACTTTATACTGTATTATTGAAAATTATTTTTAAAATGGCAAACTAGAACATTAGCCACATTTTCAGTAAGATCCACAAGTCTTTTACATAGCTTTAAAAGAGAAATGTCCATAATAGGAAATGCCTGTTTGAACAGCATTAAAACTACATCAGAGCTCGAAATTCATCCCAGCACAAAGGGCCCAAAAAGGTTTCATATTAGAGCTGGTTTTGTCAGCATGTGCCAGTTTTTGGCAAACTGGAAACATTTCTTGGAGACTTGAAAATGGACTATGGTCCAGTAGACCCTTGCCTGCAAAAGAAGCCTGCCAACTCGTCCATATAGCTCCTTGACAACTCAAACTACCAAGCTTACGTGGCCCCAAGATAGACTGTCAAAAGGCCTGCACCAGAGCCAGAGCTGCATTCCATTTCCTCGAGAATTTTGAAATGTTATTTTTTTCCTTTCTCCCTAGAATGAACTCAAATTTCAAAATATCAAAATCCTACAAAACAGAAATACTTTCTCTGCCCGGTTCTAGTCTCTATACAACACTTAAATGAAGGTACAACCTATTGCTGTGTAAAGTTCACAGCAATGAGAAATGGACTTTGATTCACTACAACTGAGTGCACAGTTCAGAGGATTTTCAAACAGATTAATTACACAAACACATGTCCCTTTAAAACCAATAACCACCCAGGGAGTTCAGCTCACACTTCCTAACTTAGGTCCCAAAAGAGAGAGAGAGAGAGAAAAAAAAGAGAGGCCCAATTTCAGTCAAAGGAAAACAAAACAGTCAAGAGCAGTTGCTTTTGGACACAAAATACTTTCAGAAAATAATTGCAGTGCATCTTCTGTCTGCATCATCCAACTACAAAGTCCTTCAATCAAACCCAAACTGGTACTGCATTTTCATTTGGTTATCATGTGTGGGTGTCACCTTATTCCTCCACTTTTCCAGATAAGTTCTTGGAGTTTCCTGGGTTAAGAAGGTAACTGCTTCTCTCCCCCTGCCTCTTTTTCTGAAAGCATTTGCTTCCTTTTTATAACTTTCTCTACTTAGCAAGCACAGCTATATCACTTCCACCTCCCAATAGTTGAACAGTTCACAGCTGACCAGTCCTCATTCCAAATCTGGCATCTCAGGCCATTCTTGAGAGATAGGATTGCTCAGGTAAAACTAAGAACAGAAAGTGATCCATTACCTCTGAAAATACTTTGGTGGAAATTTCTCATTCTTAGTCACATTATGCTTTACATTCCCCCAAAGGAAAAAATTATGCACTTCAATAAAGTGTTAACAACATAATTCCCTCTTCATGTTTCTTCATGTAGGTGCCCTGAACATTCAGTTCATTCCAGCAATAGTAAAATGGGGACTAACTCTAGGGAACGGACAGGATTTTCTAACTAATTGCTAGTGAAAGAAAACCGTATTAAGATCTTGACTTTCCAGTTTAAGACAGCAGAGCACAGATCAGTTGTTCTGTGTACTTATCAGCAATTTCAACAGTCTTTAGAATATTTTTCCACATGCACTGTCTACCAGAAGTTCACATCCTGTGGGTCAGAAACAGACAGATGGAAACCTTCTCTTAGTACTCCACCCATATGAACACTACTCAAAAAAAAAAAAAAAAAAAAAAAAAAAAAAGATTAGGATAGCTTAATACTGATATAGTTCTCAGAGTAGTGCTTTTGATTTCAAATAAATTATTTACTGAAGAGGGTATAGTTTAACAGTATTATTAAAATAAAGTTGCACTACTTTGCAATAGATTTTCGGGGGTGCTGGTGGAGGTTTGTCTTTTATATTTTGCTTACTCAAATCATTCACATATTACACAGCTAACGTAGGTACCTTCTACAGATTTGCATTTTGTGAGACAGATTTGTTTCATGAAGAATAGTGGAGATGATTAAAATTCTCCACAGGGAGAGAGTACTTGGAACTGAGGAAAGCTACATCACAATGCTTACTCTGAGACAATCACCACTGCTATATGTCAAGACTCCTACACACTGAATGTATTGAGCTAAATCCCAAAGCAGCTTCAGTGGAATTTCTTCCATTTATGTAAGTGTTGTTTCACTGTTTACATCAGCATTGAATTTTGCTCATTAAAAGTAGCATGATCCATCTACCTACTTTTCAGTTGGAACAGAAAAAAAACACATTGGCATCTTCAGGCATACATTCAACAGAGAACTGATTGCTTAAATATTGTTTGACACATTTGAGCAAATTCAGAAGTTAGCAAAATATCCGATACACTCAAATTCCATCTTTAGTAATATCATGTAGTTTTGAGACTTTGCCTGGACTATAGAGACATGTATGACATACACTCATCCAGATACTATATACCTATTGAATACCAGATTTCCCAAACAGTTTAGCATGCCACTGTTGAATATTGTGTACTTGTAAAATCAGCATCTGTATTGCTTTCTCTTCTGCAGATACACCATGGATGTTAACTCATATTATAAAAGTACCATTGTTCACTGGAAATATTTAATCATAGAATACTAGGAATGGAAGGGACCTCGAGAGGTCATCGAGTCCAGTCCCCTACTCTCATGGCAGGACCAAATACTGTCTAGACCATCCCTGATAGACATTTATCAAACCTACTCTTAAATATCTCCAGAGATGGGGATTCCACAACCTCCCTGGGCAATTTATTCCAGTGTTTGACTACCTTGACAGGAACTTTTTCCTAACGTCCAACCTAAACCTCCCTTGCTGCAGTTTAAGCCCATTGCTTCTTGTTCTAGCCTCAGAGGTCAAGATGAACAAGTTTTCTCCCTCCTTCTTATGACACCCTTTTAGATACCTGAAAACTGCTATCATGTCCCCCCCCCCCTCAGTCTTCTCTTTTCTAAACTAAACAGACCCAATTCTTTCAGAGGTCATGTTCTCTAGACCTTTAATCATTCTTGTTGCTCTTCTCTGGACCCTCTCCTATTTCTCCACATCCTTCTTCAAACGCGGTGCCCAGAACTGGACACAATACTCCAACTGAGGCCTAACTAGCACAGAGTAGAGCGGAAGAATGACTTCTCGTGTCTTGCTCACAACACACCTGTTAATGCATCCCAGAATCATGTTTGCTTTTTTTGCAACAGCATCACACTGCTGACTCATATTCAGCTTGTGGTCCACTATGACCCCCTAAATCCCTTTCTGCCGTACTCCTTCCCAGACAGTCGCTTCCCATTCTGTATATATGAAACTGATTGTTCCTTCCTAAGTGGAGCACTTTACATTTGTCTTTATTAAACTTCATCCTCTTTACTTCAGACCATTTCTCCAATTTGTCCAGATCACTGAGCAATATTAAGGCCAGAAGTGACACTGAGCAATATTAAGGGACACTAAGCAATATTAAAAGGCCACAAAGTGAAATGTACAATTCTATTTTCTTTGTCAAGGCTGAATTACTTCAAAATGTAAACAGGAGAAAGAAAAATCTAGTTTCAAAATCCCTTCAGATTTAATTCTCTAATTTTACTGATAGAACTAAGGAAATGTGTTTACTAAAAACATGTGATTTTTAACTTGATATCTTTCATTGGGTCCAGACATAATGTATAACAGAATATAACTTATAGGCACTTGCTGACCTAAAATGAGACATAAATACAACTTTGTGTGTGACAAAGCTTCCATGCAAATGAAAAGCAGGTCAAACTAGTTCTTCAGCTGGTATTGTATCGCCTTGACAGCACCTAGTCTTGATGAAACATGGTATATGTCATAAAACATGGCAAAGAGAGAGCTTTGTTACACTCTGAAAAGCAAACTGAGCTTGTCTCTAAAGGTGGTCTTATGGGCTCAATGACTATTGATGACTGTTACTGGTCATCACATCTGTACTGTGTACAAGTTAAAACCATGTTTCTAACCACCAAAACTACACACATGACCTAAGGCCTGAAAATTAAGTTTCCTTTACTGTCTCTTGAACAAGCAATAATAAAGATCTTGTCACTGGAAGTTACCAACCAGCTCGTGAAACAGACCAAAGTAGTCTTCTTGGGCACCAGGGATAGGGAACAGTGCTGGCAGTGTGCTCTGTCAAGATGAGAGGCATGAAGTCCAACTGGGAGGATTCCAACCCAGGATGAAGCACAGCCTCCATGAAGAGAGCTCTGAAGTGGATATCCCACTCTTTCTGGGTTCTAGGGCAAAAGGTTTTGAATATCACGCACTTGCCCTTTATAGGGACTCCCGAAAGCATTTGGAAAAGCTGACATGGGGGGGGGGGGGGACAGGGTGCCACAGCTGACCCTATGTCTACTACTAAAACAAAAATTCTCCAATGACTGTGCACATGGGCGCGCACACCTAAAATGGAATCAAGATGAGCAAGTACTCAAAACGTGACCTGAGATTGGAAAAAAAAAATGGGGGGGGGGTTGTTTAGTCTGGAGAGACGATTGAAGGGGGACTAGATAGAAGTTTTCTAATACTGTATGTAAAAGGTTGTAATGAGGAGGGAGAAAAATGGCTCTCTCTAATCTCTGGAAACAAAAAGCAATGGTCTTAAATTTCAACAAAGGAGGTTTAGGTTGGACATTAGCAAAAGCTACGTGTCAGGGTAGTTCTACACTGGAGTAAATTGCGTAGGGAGTTTATTGAATCTCTATCATTGGAGATTTTTAAGAGCAGGTCAGACAAATATCTGTCACAGATGGTTTATAATACTTAGTCCTGCTGTCTAGATTGGAAGACTTCTTGAGGTCCCTTCCAGTTCGAAAATTCTATGAAAAGTGTGAAAGCAGAGAAAAAGAAAAACTTCTCCCCCTTTTTTATATATAAAAAAAATGAACCTCTTGTAAATGCTACAAAAGGAAACAATCTCAATATGAAGCTATAAACTAAACACTATCAACTATAAAAAAATAGTAAGTAAACCAGACTACTACTGACTTGGGCTACCTCTAGACTGCAAGCTTCTTTCGGAAGAAGCTTTTCTGGAAGACATCTTCTGGAAAAGCTTATTTCAAAAGAGTGTCCACACAG